ACACAGGATGTTGAGAACAGAAAAGAAGCCCCCAGGCTTTTTTCTCCCCTGAATTTAGAACACAAGGATTTTACAGTATTACAATAACCAAACTGTAGGCCTTTTTTTTTTTGCTTTAATTTTTTTTCTCCCTGTTTTTTCTCACCAGAATTTTCCTTTTTTAGGTGATTTTGCACCCAGAGTTCCTATCCTCCACCAGCCCCTTGTTACCCATGGATTATGAAGAGTTCGTCCGAGGTTGTCACCTTGGAGTATTTCCGTCATACTATGAGCCATGGGGTTATACTCCAGGTACGTGACCTGTATAGATGTGGAATGTTTTGGAATTTATTTCATGCATATGAGTGTGATATTCCAAGTTGACATTTAATTTACTATTGGATAGAGAAGCACAAAACCAAAGCTTACGTGACTGAGGGAATGTGGGAGATCACTAATTTCGGTAAAGAGAATGATTTATAACTCATGGCAGATTTCTAGCAAAAATGTCGCTTTACAGGACAACGTTAAACTTAACCCGAAATGATAGAGGAGTTATATCTAGTTTTTAAGGTGTTATAAAACATAACTAAATGAAAGAAACAGTTTGGGAAATACTCCATAGTGAATGAGCCATTCTGTTTTGCATTAACCCAAGGAAGTTGGCCACTCCTCATCAGACCTATAATTACAGAAATAATGAAACCTCTGGTGCTATAAGGTTGGGTTATATTTATCTAATTTAACATATTAAATCTATCTAATTTAGCATATTAGATAAATCTCTAATTTTTTTAAAGAATAATGATTTTATGTGACACTAACTCTAATTCACTCCAGAAAGTATTCATTAAAGTTTGTGCTTTGAGAAAGCACAATGAATATAAGCGCTTATTTCATTAAATTCACCGAATGAACATATACTGAGCTTACATTGATACCTGTCATTTTACTACCTGTGTGTTAATGAGTACTTAATAAAAATAAGGATCTGTTAAGTTTCATCTAATTGTAGCACAGTTTTTCTAGGGAGGATTTCCTGAGTTTTTATCAGATTCTCAAATGGGTCAATAATCCCATTCCACCTACACCTCCCCATCCTAAACTAGGAAACCACTGCTCTCTAGAGCAGTGATGGCGAACCTATGACACACGTATCAGAGGTGACACGCGAACTCATTTTTTTGGTTGATTTTTCTTTGTTAAATGGCATTTAAATATGTAAAATAAATATCAAAAATATAAATCTTTGTTTTACTATGGTTGCAAATATCAAAAAATTTCTATATGTGACATGGCACTAGAGTTAAGTTAGGGTTTTTCAAAATGCTGACATGCCAAGCTCAAAAGGTTCGACATCACCGCTCTATAGATACACTAAGAGGAAATACTTGCAGAACAGGAGAAAGGGCCACTGATTAAATTGTGTTACTTCATGGGTAATGGGGAAATCTCTTTCTTTTTTACCCAACCCCACTAGCCAACCAAGAGTTATTCCACAGTCAAATACAATGTCTTTGTTAAAATGCAGATATCCCTGAGAGCGGTAATATTCGCAAGACATATCTGATATTTTCTGAAAAAAAACAAACAAACAAATTTTGACCAAAAAACGTGAGAGAGGACTGAGAGAGACAATGGGTGCACTGCACACCTGAGAAAGTGGAAGAGATTTGTGTGGAGGATGATTTCAAAAACATGTCCAAAATATATACCTACCCCATTAACTTGCCAAATACGTAGAAATGGAGTGAAAAGCAAAACTAGTACTGAGAGCCCTAACCGGTTTGGCGCAGTGGATAGAGCGTCAACCTGTGGACTCAAAGGTCCCAGGTTCGATTCTGGTCAAGGGCATGTACCTAGGTTGTGGGCACATCCCAGTAGGGAGTGTGCAGGAGGCAGCTGATTGATGTTTCTCTCTCATGGACGTTTCTAACTCTCTATCCCTCTCCCTTCCTCTCTGTAAAAAATCAATAAAATATTAAAAAACAACAACAACAACTAGTGCTAAGAGAGGCAGTATTGGATAGCCGTTCCCAGCCAGGTCTCTGGAGTTGGGCACATGGCTGGAAATCCTACCGCTCCCTCATCCCTTGGCTTGGTGAATTTGGGCAACCTATATTTCACTTTTCTGTGCCTTAATTTCTTCATCTGTAAGATGAAAATAATGGTAGCCTCACTTCACGTGGTTATTGAGAAGTTTAAATGAGCTAATACATGTAAAGAGCATAGTACTGAGCCTGGCACAAAGGAAACATTGCTATTCCTAGCTAGATGGGGGCTTTTTCCTCCTCTGCGTGCATCAGAGGACACCGGAGCTGGTTTAAAGCCAAGCGTTTGTCTGTTTCCCTGGCAGCCGAGTGCACTGTGATGGGTATCCCCAGTGTGACAACCAACCTCTCCGGCTTTGGCTGTTTCATGCAGGAGCATGTGGCTGATCCTACTGCCTACGGTGAGATGTTTCATCATTAACCCAATCCAGAGAGAAATGACACTTAACCAAACAAAGCACAGGGTCTTTACAGCGTCCAACTCTAAGCCTAACATGATTAAACAAAGATTGAACAAAGATTTTTTGTTCAATAAAATATTTTAATTATGTCATCCATAGAAGGAATAAAAATGCTATTAATATTTAATACATTGTCCAAAATACAAACCACAAAAGGAGTTAAATGAACAAATGAAATTGAAACAGAAAAAAATGCAAAAGAAATATTAAACTTAGATAAACCTGCCCTTTACCTTTTTTTTTTTTTCTGAACTGGTTTGGCCCTCTACTATCTAGAAGGGATATTACAATAACTATGGTCTTAGAGGTGATATTACAAGAACTATATTGGTCACCATAATTATTTAAAAGATCCATGCCAAGTTAGCAAAATTCAATTGCACTATTTAAGATGGCTGGAGAATTTGCCTATCACCATCTCTATATCCATGTTGCCTAGCAACACGCCAAGTTCCAATGGGCTGGATCCTCTGCCTACACATTGCCAATTCCCTGGTCCTGCACATGGAACACTGGGGCGTCTAAAAACCACTGACACCCAGAGATTCTGGCAAGTGAGAAGCCCAGGGAGAATCATCGATTCAGGGTACCCTATATTGCCAGATTTTTTAAAAAAAATTGTTGGCTGCAGGTTGGTGACAGTTATAAACCATTAGGAGATCAAAGAGACACAGCCTTGGAAGGGAAAAGATAAAGTATAGGCACTGGGGAGCTAGGGAACAGATCATTCATGTGATCGACCGTAGGACCTAAGAAATAGGAGGAGAATTGCTCTAAGGAGAACCCACCTTTTACCTGTGCCTTGGTTTTTGTGCCCTTCAGGGATTTACATTGTTGACAGGCGGTTCCGCTCTCCAGATGATTCTTGCAACCAGCTGACTAAGTTTCTCTATGGATTTTGCAAACAGTCACGTCGCCAAAGAATTATCCAGAGGAACCGAACTGAGAGGCTCTCAGATCTTCTGGACTGGAGATACTTAGGCAGAGTAAGCAAATTGGTGATCAACACAGAGGACCCTTTAAAAATTCCACTGGACCACAAACATACTGATCCTCCGCATAATCTGTAAAGTCAACTCGGTATCATAATTGTTAAAACCTCAGTGACTTTTCATGTACTTTTTTTACATATTATGAATGTGCAAAATTCTAAACTCCATTCTTCACATTTTGTCCGAGCCTCTAACAGCCAGTCCATCAGGATCTAACACTGATTTTTACTAGTCATTCTATTGTCATTGCTTAACTTGATACATTACAGGTAAACAGAAATATTTAATGAAGATGAGGAAAACAAGAGAAGATCCCTACCTTGTTTCACTCTAATTTTATTCCTCAGCTTCAGGGGTAATGGGAATAATGTTGTTTTCAAAATGACAAGTGCCAAGGGAAACACCTTCTTTCATGAAGTAGGTTTATAAATACCCAGATGCTCATATATCAGCACTGGATAATTTAGTAAAAGATGAACTGACTTTGCCTTCGTATATTGTATCTGCTTAGATACTGCCAAACTTCCCCAGACAAATGATAGATGCTGCCATTAGCAGAGTGCTCATTACAACCCTGGGTGATTCGTTTTATTGTCTTCATTTTATAATGAAAGCAGAATGATAAGGCTCTTAGGCAGTGATTTTCTTTTTTTCATCTACTGCAGTGATGGCGAACCTATAACACACGTGTCAGAGGTGACACACGAACTCATTTTTTTGGTTGATTTTTCTTTGTTAAATGGCATTTAAATATATAAAATAAATATCAAAAATATAAATCTTTGTTTTACTATGGTTGCAAATATCAAAAAATTTTTATATGTGACACGGCACCAGAGTTAAGTTAGGGTTTTCAAAATGCTGACACGCCGAGCTCAAAAGGTTCGCCATCACTGACCTAGTGGCACACATAAACTAATTATCAAAATTCTGCAGCAAAAAGTGTATATATTTTTGTCTATCAGACAAAAAGCGTAAGTATCATTTTGATTCATTCACAAACTGTCCTATTATTGTTGTGTTGGCTGTTGTCATTTTTTTTCCTTTGCAGCGGTTCTCAACCTGTGGATCGCGACCAGTGAAAATCCATCCTGCATATCAGATATTTACATTACGATTCATTACAGTAGCAAAATTACAGTTATGAAGTAGAAACGAAAATAATTTTATGGTTGGGGGTCACCACAACATGAGGAACTGTATTAATAGGTCGCGGCATTAGGAAGGTTGAGAAGCACTGAGGGGAAAGAGGTCAGTGCCCTTGACTAAATAGTCAGGTATTGCATGTTTTAAAAATTCTTGCAGCACACCAGTTGAAAATTGCTGCTCTTCGGACTTACAAATTTCTTACCTATGGTCAAAAGTGGGATTTAAATTCAGTTTGTCTGATTATTCGGGTCTCATATTTTCTCTTCACACATATTGCTTCTCTGTAGAATGAACCCTTAGCACTAATTCAAAGTTCAGTAAGGCCAGTCAGTTTTTTCCCTCCCATGTTTTGTAGCAATTCTTTTAAAAAATGTTTTTATTGATATTCAGAGAGAAAGAAAGGGAAGAGGATAGAGAGATGAAACATCCATGAGAGAGAAACTTCATCAACTGGCTGCCTCCTGTGGCGAGTGCCCCATCCTGCGGTTCGAGCCCTGACCAGGAACCAAACTGGTGACCTCTTGGTTCCTGGGTTGACACTCAATCACAGAGCCACCCCAGCCTGGCTGTAGTGTTTCTTTACCTAGTCATTGATAAATAAGAAAACCATAAGCTGTCATTTCTTTTCTGATTTTCAAACTTAGAATGAATAGAATCTGTCACTTAAAAATACATATTTCATAACTAAAAGAAAAACATTTTACATAATAACTTGGTTGTTGAACTATATAGATTTTTTTTTAACCTGTGAATCGGTCTTCTATCACAGTATTACCAGCATGCCAGGCACCTGACATTAAGCAGAGCATTTCCAGATAAATTCCATGTGGAATCCACATCACCACCAACAGTAAGTATTCTATGTATTACTCGGTGTTGAAAGCTAAATTTCTTATTTAGAGTAAGTCCTAACAATACCTTTTAATTTGGAAGTAGCTACGTACACAAACTACTATAGTTTTTCATAGTGCCACATCAAAGCAAAGAATAGAGGAACTGACAAATCAGAACAACTTGAAGCCCTTGATTCAAAGGCAGCCTCATGTGTAAGATGAGCAGAGTCAGCTAACTCACGTCATTAGAGAAGCACCTTGACCAGCCAGTGTTGCTCAGTGGTTGGGCATCAACCCATGAACCAGGGGAGATCACCATTCAATTCCCAGTCAGGGCACATGCCCGGGTTGCAGGCTTGATCCCTAATAAGGGTGTATGTAGGAGGCAATCAATCGATGATTCTCTCTCATCATTGATGTTTCTATCTCTCCCTCTCCCTTCCTCTCTCTGAAATCAATTAAATCTCTCTTGAAATCTCTCTCAGCCTTCTTGTTCGAAACTGCTCCATTAGACATCCATTCTTTTGAGAGTTGTTCAGAATAAAGTAGCCTGTTTGCACAGGAAGTTGATTTGCTATACAAGGAAGTATTTAAATGTAGGGTTAATCTACTTATTCAGCTATTAAGTATTGAGCATCTCTTCTGAGTCAAGTCCTAAGTGCAGGACTCAGCTGTTTTTCTGTGTTGCTTTCAGATAGTGTTGAAATGTGAAATGACTGTACAAGTATGACATAATAATAATATATAAAAATAGTTGAAATACAGTAACGTACTGTGATAGTTTTACGTTTGTCTCCCCATTCAAGCATGTACACTCCTAGAGAGCAGGGATCATGTTTTTCATTTGTTTTCTCATTGCCATTATTATGCCTGACCCATATTTAGTGCTTAATATTTGTTTATAAAATGAGTTATCTCAATGAATCTTAGGTGGAAGGACAATTTGATTAAAACCTAGTGATACTTTCTCATTAACTGAACTAAAAATAACTGGTGGAATTTCAGCGTTAGCTCAGTGGCCAGTTTCCAGGATTTTTGTAGTGGTGGCTGCCCATGTCCTGCAATTTCATCGAGCAAATCTAAAGGATGACATAGAGGCTAACACGATCAGCGGTGTAATGTAACAGTTGAGATGAACACTTCTGGAGAGATTCTCACGCTGGTCTCAGCTCTTTGCTCTACCACATGTGCTATATGACCTTTGGCAAGTCATTTGGCTTCTCTAACCCTTCATTTTCTTCTGTAAATGTGGAAAATAAATTTATTAGAGTGTTGTTACAAAGATTAAATACAATAACATATATATAGTATCTGCCAAAAGTCAATGATTAATAAAATAAAACTATTTATTTAATGAATCTCTCTTGAGCTTGTTGGAGGCAGAATCAAAATTAGTTGCTCCTTGCCCAGCCAGAGTGGCTCAGTGTTTGAGCATCAACCCATGAACCAGGGGGCCACCATTCAATTCCCAGTCAGGGCACATGCCCAGTTTCAGGCTTGATCTCTAGTAGGGGTGTGTGTAGGAGGCAATCGATAATTCTCTCTCATCATTGATGCTTCTATCTCTCCTTTTCCCTTCCTCTCTCTGAAATCAATTAAAAAAATAATTCATTTAAAAAAAATTAATAGCTCCTGAACAGACCACAAAAAATATCCAACTGTGTGGCCAGGTTAATTTCAACTACGGATTTGTACTGAAAGGAAGGAGTCACTGTCAGGCCTCTAAGATGGAGTCCAGTGTTACCCTTATACTATCTCAATATTAATCCAAACAGACAAGTGGGAGGTACTTAATTGCGCTAATTTACTATTAATTTATCTTTTAAAGACAAAATTTTATACATAGACAGACATTGTATATAAATTAAATAATTTCTCCTTCAACCATAAAAAACCCCAACTATGATTTTTATAAAATGCACATGCAAAATGTTTACATATTAGAAAATTAAGAAGTTGTTATAATGCTTGTATCTTATTTTTGTCTTTGGCAGACAGAGGGATTTAAATACCCCAGGCCTTCCTCAGTACCACCTTCTCCTACAGGGTCTCAGGTGTCCAGTCCTCAGAGCAGTGATGTGGAAGACGAAGATGAAGACGAGAGATACAATGAGGAAGAGGAGGCGGAAAGGGATCGGTTAAATATCAAGTCACCATTTTCTCTGGGCCATGTCCCTCATGGGAAGAAAAAGCTGCATGGTGAATATAAGAACTGAATTCCCCCCTGGTGGGACAGAGCTCATTTAGTGAGAGCACAGTAAGAATGGTTATTAAAACCATGGCAATGCCACCAGTTTCATTTCCTTCTTCTAAGAATCACAGTGGGATTTATTCCCTGCCTAAAAGGTGGAGATGACGTGAATAGCGATTTTATCATTTAAAATAAAAGCCAAGCTATTTTCTTAAACTCCTTTCCCTCCAGTAAATTTAGACACGAGGAAGAGGGTTAATTAAAGGACAGGGACTGGAAGTGTTTTTTAAATGGTTAATTTAAGCACTAACAATTTTTACTAGTGTTTTTTAAATTATCAGCACCATAAGCCTTTGCTTACTATTTATACAGCTTCCATACTTACCAAGCAGGTCCCTCATCCCTCCCCCACCCAAGATTCTGTTCTCAGCCATGAATGTGCCCTACCTACACATTTTAAATAACTCGTTCTTTAATGATTATTTTCATTTTCACATGAGTCAAAAACATGAATTTATATCTAGCTTTGCAGGCAATCAAAACCCATAATAAAGTAGTTATCCTAAATCCAAATATTGATACATATTCATGCATATTTACAAGGACACTTCTCAAATTAATGATAGAAAGATGTTACCACCTGTACTGTAGCATCTGACTGTAACAATTTTCTTATTGTTTAAAAGGAAAGCTTATTTGAAAACTTGTTGAATCATCCACAGATGATAATTTTTTAAATCCAAATGAATAAATATATCAATATTTAAAGATTTAACTTTCATTGGTAATGTTTTGTTTAAAATTCTTTTAGACATTTAAATAAGATAACATGTATAAAGCACCTGCTACATAATAGTGCCTTACAAAGGACAACATTTTTTAAAAATAAAATTTATAGTCTATAACAAGGACAGTGTCTCTAACACAGTCATGCTGTGCATAGAGACCTTGTTGAATGTAATTAAGCATCTTTATGTTTTAAATGTAACTAAATCTAAATTGGCAAAAACAAATCTACACTCACTCTTGGATTGTTTTTTTTTTTTCACAACCGAGTGTTGTTACTGAGTATTACTTACATCACAGTGAATACCTTGGTTGGTATCTCAGTTGGCTAATTGAGGCTCTAAAAATGTTTTGGTTTTCTCAGTGCTATAATGTTGATAGCAACAGGGGAAGAATAACAATGATGGTGGGTCAGATAGTTCAAGATGAGCTAACAACCATAATCCAGCTCTCCCATTGCCCCATTGTTAGGAAAAAGTAGAACAGTAGAAAAAACAACAAATCAGGCCAAAATGGAAGACAGTTGCAAACTCGCCTCATGTAGAGGTTCAGAAAAAAAAAGGGCAATAAATTAAAGCCAACCCTTGAAAAATGCCCCATGGATGCCAATTAACCCAGTGTCTGCAGAGCAAGTTGGAAGGTCTGCATGGGAGATCAGAAAAATATGAGATGGACTTTATTACAATACTAATGCTCTTTTGTTGAAGTACCAGAAAGATCTCATGATTAAAAAGGAGTTTCTATTAAACAAACATAAAAATATATCCCTGATAAAGTGACATACTGTATGTATTCAAATGATACTCTTGATTGGTAATCAGTTGGGTCACTTATGAGCTATATAATAAAATACATTCATGATATAAAACTTTCAAATTCAAGTGCTTTTTACAAAATGAAAGAAGAGTCCCCTGATTAGAAATGAGTACAAATGAGAGTACACATGGAAATTAACTGATTTGCAAACACCTGGTTTTGAGTGGCATTGTGTCAGGTCAGAGTTTCTACCCTGCACCAGACCCTCTGTTCAGACAGCTGCTGCCACTTGATTCCTTCCCCATGTCCTGATAATGTATTGTCTTTTCCCCAAGATTAACAAATCCCGGTGTTGAGGAACAAATAGGACTTTTAGATGATTCTGTGTCTAGCACAGGGCCCAATACACAGTAGGTGCATAAATGCATAGTCTTATTGGGAGAAAGAGGTACAAAAACGATGCTTTTAAAGAACGTAGGTATTCAGCAGGTGGAGGACAGGAACTATAGAAAGTAGTTTTCGTGTGCTTGACCAGCTGACAGCAAGACATTTTCTTCTGCGTTGTGCCACACTTCCTTCCATGGTAAGAGCTAGGGTTAACAGAGCTGGTTTTGCACACATAGACGAGAATATAAAATATTACAAGTGCAGTACTAATCGTTTTCCAGGGCACAGGGGCACTAAGAAAAGGAACTGGCCAGGTGTGTGTGGAGGGGGGTGGGGGTGGGAGCAGTCCCAAGAGGCTTCATAGGATGAGCCTAACTTTCTATGGAGTAATATGGGAGATACAATTGCCTGCTTCACCTGGCAGTTGTAAAGATCAAATCAAAAACAGAAATGAACTCTTCCTAAAGGAACTTACAGTCCAGAATCAGGGGGCTAAACAGGCTACATTCTCAACTTCCCTTTCTCCTGAGGCCGAAGTAGAATAATGTAACTCAAGGATGATAGGATATAGACTTCCATTTCTTATAACCAGGTAAAGAATGAAAAGTGAATTGGAAGCTTATTTTAAAGTCAGGGCCTCTTCACCTTCTCTTCCCTCTCATGATCCTAATGGTGGTGTGAGAGGAGAGGAGGTATCGTCTGGGGAAACCAGGGAAACAAAGAGTAATTGAGAACCCACACTGGAGGTTACATATGTAAACAATACCCGATAGCCACAGCGGGGAGAGGATAGAGAGGCGAAACGGGGAAGAGCAACTGGAACTGTGCTAAAAGTGGCTTCAAAGTCCGACCTGGAGGTGAGGTAGTGCATGCATGGGAGGCAGATATTTCCCAATTTTAAAATCCAAGCCACACACTGAAAAATGTTGATCCCTGATCATTTGTTCATTTCAGTGTTGAAAAACAACACACACACACACACACACACACACACACACACCAGAAGTAAAAAGGATTGCAAAGAGAGATAGAAAGTTACAGCAAACTGGGTATGGGGGCCTTTATGCAATGACTGTGCTAATCAGCATATCTGTACAGCAGAAGAATTCAACTACTTATAATACATGGAGCTGGTATTATTTTAACTGGTCATGTAGACAGCTTTTAAAAACTCTGTTTTGGGGCAAAATACTTGAGATTGTTTTAGTTCACTGTTGGAAGAATTACTTCATAAGATAGATTTTAAAGTGTTTTGAGAATAGCCCTGGCCGGGATGGTTCAGTTGGTTGGAGCCTGATCCCATACACCAAAAGGTTGAGGGTTCGATTTCCGGTCAGGGCACATTCCTAGGTTGCAGGTTTGGTCCCCAACTCTCTGGTTGGGGTGAATATGGGAGGCAACAAATGGATGTTTTTTGTTCTCTCTCTCTCTCTCTCTCTCTCTCTCTCTCCCCCCCCTTCCTCTCTCTAAAAATCAATAAACATGTTTTTAAAAAGGTCTGGGAATAGATATAATGTTTAAATAGCCAAATGTACAAATCTATGTCAGATGAGTAAATAATTATCGATAAACTGGATAAATGCACTGTCTAGAAAATCCACTTTAAATCAAATCATAATTAATGACAGGTGTCTACTATGATGCCACATAGATTTTTTTAATGCTAGCATATTTTTTGTCAGAGATCAATGTTACATTAACTTGAATATAGCTGCATTTTCAATTATGAAACAAGTTACAGACAAACCTTATAAGCAGGGTTTTGGTTATTTAACACAGCCAAATTGTAATTCCAATTACAGGCATTCACATAAGGATATTCTTCAGCTACTGAATAATGGCTATATATCGATGACAATAAGAATTAACAATACTTTCTAGTTATGACATTTAGCAATGACAACTTTCAATTAATTATGTCATAACTAATTAACAAGTTGGCCATATTGTGTTTACAAATAAATATATCACTATGCCTGCTGTAGGTATATGTGTGCATACATTTTTCAGATAGTACTGAACCCAAGTTGACTGTAAAAAGAAGTAACTTAGACATCGTACCATGCTTTGTCAGGGCGTTACCTGATATTTTGGTGTCAAAAGAAGCCCAGCCCATTGGAGAAAGCAGTCTTTGAGTCTGCTTAGTCAGGGAAAATGGGTTACCTCTAAAAACTGGGTACAGAGGAACAGAGCGTGGCTCATCTGCTGATGTTCCGGTAACTTTCAGATCCCTTTCTAAACTGAATTCAGGGAGATCCCAGAGAGCACAAGGGGGAGCTCCGAGCTTCTCCAGCCTCACTGAAGAGCCCTCTCCCAGCCACGGCACTGAGTGTTCTAATCACAGAGCTTCCTTCCTGTCCATCCCACCCCTTCCCTGCGTAACTTACATCCGGGTGAACTGCTAAGGGAACCACACTCTGCTCTTTCTCAGCCTGCCATGCTTTCCCCCCACCCTCCTGGGACGTGGGGAAGGGAGACAAGGAGAAGGAGAGTCCCTGCTGAGTGACGACAAGACAATGCAAGTTGGGTGACAGGATGAGAAAACCAACAACTAATAATATTAAATCAAGAGGGTATCTGTTGTAACACAAAGAACACTATCAGGAGTAGTCAGTCTTATAATCTAAAAAAATTCGAGAGTAAGACAGAAGGTGATCTAAGACAGAAGGATCTGAAGCAGTAATAAATAATAATAATAATAATAATAATAATAATAGGCAATGATATTCCCAGCTAGGAACTCCACCTTACTTTTTGCTTCTAGAAGAATTAAACTAGTTGTGCCTGTTCCTAAGACCGCAAATGAAGCAAAAAGGGTCCACAAGTTTTATTTACATGCTTCATGTCTTCAATGAGAACAGAACTGCAACTGCATTCAATTTGGTGTATTTTCACCAGTTTAGCAGACTGTCGTCCAGAAATCTGGTTGGATCAAGGTTTTCTTCTCCAGCTGCAAGAAAAAAAAAATTATATAAAATGAACACATTTTCCATGGTTAAAAAAAAAAAAAGAGAACCACCGGAAAAATATTTAATCTCCTAAATTATGTTAACTCATGCACTCTGCCACTGAAAATTTAAAAAAAAAAAAAGAGGATTTGATTGATTTAGTTTTAAATTTTTTTCCTCAGTGTGAGACATATCGGAGAGCTCACATTTCACACCTCACTCTCCATGAGCACTGCATCAGAGCTGTGCCCTGACCCCCAGATACTCACTGTATTTTTTATACATTTTAACATTTAAATTATGTCATAAATACTGCATCATTACAATTTTTGAGAAGGAAAAGTCTGGGTCTATTTATTACCCTTTGATGACCTCTACTTTTAATAGTCATAAAACGTATATCCCTTGTTCATTTGGTTCTTAGCACGTGGATATCATTATTCCATTCTACCTATTGATACTAAGCTCAGGGTCACCAGGGAAGTAACATAGCAGAGCCAGAATCTGAACCAAGTACTGCTATAGACTCCAAAAGCCGTGGCTAATCCACTATCAAAATGTTTCTTAATTCAACTAATAGTTTTAAGGCTATGCAGGCAGAATGTCTCTCTTGGAAGATTACACCTAATCCTGGCCTAGAAGAAGCTGTCCAATGTAGTGAAAGTACGCAGGCTGAGAATCAGAACTGTCCTGTATCTATTAGGGTGAACCATATGAAACCGCTGTGTTCGTAAGCGTAAGAAAAATGGGTTTTCAGCAATTTCATGTGGTTCAGCCTTTAATAGTGAACAATTGGATTTGTGATTATTTAAAATTCTTTGGGCCTCAGGTTTTTCAACTATAGAATAATAAAGTTGGACTTTGAGCTCTTTCAGTTCTAAAGTTCTAAAAGAAATGAAGGTTACAATAGGCTATGGGCTGGGTAATTCATATGAAATTCCCCAGTCTCTCCAAGGAAATAGTTTTATGGTCTTAGTACTCACTTTAATGAGAAATATACTAGCCTTTAAAGAGTCAACATTCTGTGAATTTCGGGGGGAAGGAGGGGAAATGTTAATTATTTTTTAAAAACACCTGAATTCATAAAGCCAACTTTGTTGCACTCAACACAGAATCCAAAAAGTAATCAGAGCCTCTCTGTCCTGCAGTTGAAAGAAGTCACTATACTTGTACCTTCTCGTGGTTTCTGCAAGGAAGCCAGTAGCAGAGCTGCTGCCTCCGGGAGAGTTAGCAGTCGGGCATTTGGACTTCGTCTTTCTGGAGAAACAAAAATGTATAAAGATCCTATTAGTATTTAACCATTCATATAGATTAATCCTATCCCATTATGCTATGACACTAGACAAACCTCTATGAGATAGATTTGTGATCCCTCAGCAAAGAGTTCCTACGCAAAAGACTGATTTTTATAAACTGAAACATTTCACACTTCCCGTGGACATTACTTACAACTGGTTATGTTGTATATCACAGAATGTAAGCTATAGATGACACAGAATTTCATGAAAGCAAAGAGGATTAAGATAAGGGGCCCATGAGAAATTTCTCCCTTCAGAGCTTAATGTGGGACGTCTGGGCAGAAAGGTTTACATGTGATCCTGCTCGGAGCCTGGACAACCTTTTCGGTCATTCCTTCCAAAGCAACTTGAGATCTTCTACGTTCTTGGCCACACATAAGGCAATTATTTGACGGAAGGAATGCATATCTGCTAAGTATTCAAAATTATTTCAAGTCCAAGTTGACAGAAGACAAAAGATCCTGATTCAACACAAACCACTATTTTTAATTTGGGAGCAAATGAAAACATAGCTTACCCTGGTAAAGTCAATAAGCTTAATTACACTGCAATATCGAAAAAGGTAAATGAATACCTGTTGAGCGCCTATAGGTGGTGAACACAGTTTGTTTTTCTCAAAATAAATATACTTTTTAAATTTCCTTTTTTTTAAGCGAGAGAGAGTGGAAGGGAGGGGAAAGAGAGGGAGAGAGAGAGAGAGAGAGAGAGATGTGGGCAAGACACACATGGATTTGAGGCCCAGTTAGGTTGCACTGCAACGCAGGTAGGTGTCCTCGACCAGGAATGAACCCAGACCCTTCTGTGCACTGGCCAACACTCTAACCATTGAACCATACTGGCCAGGGCAAAGTAAATATACTTTTTAATTTTAGCATTTCAGTCTTTAAATTTTACCAAAATTCATTGATTTATGATCCAGTAGCATGGAAAGGTTTATCATGGAAAAAAAACAAAACAAAACAAAAAACAGTCCCTAGCACCATTCTTTATAGCTTCCATTTAACTGTTTCTGGTTTGGAACATTTTGATAGCTCTTTCTAGTAGCATAAGAGGCATAGATTTAAAGGTTCTAGGTAAATCACTATTTTAACAATAACAATACAGTGTTTAAGAGGAGACTGTGTAAAGGTCCTGTCATAGCGGGGAAGTACTCTTTGGGAGAAGCTGTGTAGTTTTCCCTACCCCTCCTAACACCTCCCCCCCACTCCGAACCCCCAGCGCTGAACCCCAGGCCTTGGGTAACTCCCGGTTTTCTGCACACCGGGGTGGCCAGAGCGACCGACACTTTGAGCAGCTGCGACCAAGTCCAGCTTGGAGTGACAGCCCCGGCCCAGGCGGGGCGTC